TTAGGTCTACAAAGAAATTATCTCGACTTCTTTCTTTTTTCCTTTATTGGCTCCATTATAGGGAGTAATGTCGGTTAATGTTAATCTCTAGCAGCAGTAATGTCCGTTATCTCTACCGCCATGGACACTCTCAAAGAGGGCTTGCACGCCCTCTAGCTAGGGTGTATGTAACCTAGGAAAGAGTTGTTGTGCGTAGGTTATTGTATTCACCTGCTGTGTAACCAATTAGTAGATTGTATTATAATTTTCTTTAGGCCACTGAGTTGTATTATAATTGAAGTTTATAATTTAGTTAAGAAAATTGTATGGAATACAAGTCATCAGTATCAAAAAATTTGAAATTAATTAAGTGAATTTGTTTAAAAAGAACATGATCAAAATAATCCAAATGCCAACATCATCTTCTTTTAATATCAGGGTTGATTTATTTGCTAAGTTAATATCCTCTTCCGATGAAGAAGATGACATATATTTAAATATGGCTTAAGAGTTGATACCGCATTAACTCGACAGGTCTCATCCATGATTTTGTCTACTTATATATTTCTTTCTTCTGCCAAGTACAGATCCCTCCATTGTGAATGGCTGTCGATTTTTCAATCAGCAGGGGATCCATCGTCGTATTCCACTTCATTCAAGAACTCATCATTGATCTCCGTTCTTCTCTTTGAACGTACCAACAGCTACAATGGCCTTAATTATTGTTTGCTCGAATAGTTCCTTCCGGGTAGGGGGCGGCTAGTACAGAAATTTGAGAATGTCTGCTTTGCGTATTCAAGAAAGGAGTTCTTCCTTAGACTAATTAATATTTGATTCTTTCTATGACTAGTAGATTTGGTGAAACTTGAATAGTACCTTCTTTGGACATCATGTTGTTGGATTTATCGATATGTTTGATTTTCATTTCTAGATTTTTCTTTCATGAACAGTAATTATCAAGAACATAAGAAGATTCTTTCGGCAAAAGTTTTCTACACTGTAATAGACCAGGTAATTCTTTAGGAAGAAGTCTTTCTTTCCACAATTATTGCATTATAATTAATTAATTAATTAATTAATTAAATATAATCATAGATAATGTAAAATTTATCAAAATTTTATATGAAATATTACGTTATATTGTAATTAAATAATTATAAAACTATACAAACAAATTCACTTCAAAGAATTAATTAATTGGTCCCAAATTGATGGGCTGGGCCCACTCAATTAGAACAATAATGATACTGGATTTTGTTTTCATATACAGAAAAAGACAAAAAGGATGAGTATTATAATATATACTTTGGATTGGCCTAAACTATGCAAAAAGAAGACTTTTTAGTAACCAAACCATTAAAAGTGCAAATTCCAATTGTACAATCAAAGGAGATAAAGTGATCAATTGAGCCTCTTTGTGGTTTTTTCTTTACTTTTCTTATTTAATTTTTTTGACAAGAGAGGGAGGAAAACTTAGATAATTATAGATAAATAAAATTCAAAAGTTGAATAAAAACTGATAAAGTTGGACAAAACTATTAGCAATACCTTTATATATCTGATCTGATACAAAATCCAGTAATACCAGTTTAAATTATGTTAGGGTTCATCTTTTTTTTGTTAAGTCATTGCAGATATTTCATTGACCATCAACACGTACGGATAAAGTCCATGCAGACATACAGCACAACCGGAACCATGACCAGCCAGCCAGAAAGACTAAGCAAAAACAGTCTGAAGTCAGAACATAGGTGCAGAAGGGTCCACACAAGCAGGTAGATCCTCATCCAAAGAAGGAACCAACGATAGGTTCAGCATATTAGAAAAATCAGCAGGGCCCCCACAAACAGAATTGGAGCAGCAACTCACATGCACAGATAAAAATCGTTGCCCTTCCGATCTCTGCGTTTTTGGTTCATCTGTCTATGCTTACAGAAAACAACGGAGGACGGTTGACTAAGCTCAATTCATGAAGTTTTCTTGATTCGAGTCTCTGCAAAAATATCCGTCGGACTTGAACTTGATTTTAGACTTGAGACACTCAAAGCCAGGATATTCAATTCTTTAAATGGCCAGCCACCCTGATGAATTGGACCGCTACTTGTAACATAGCATCAAATTCCCCAGGACAAAAGTTAAAAGCTCGCCTTCAATCAAATTAATATACCAGCGTCAGCTACTTGTGGAGAACCATAATCTAGACTAGGGCCCATTCTCTAGTTAAAGTTTCCCATACGTCGAGGTAATAAGCTTCAACGTGGATTCGAGCTGATTTCCTGGTCGAAATGTAGAAGTTGTCGCTTTTTTTCCATTCCAAATATCAAGTATACCACCCTAGCCAGTACTTACATGAGTAAGGCTGTAAGGGTAGACTCAAAGCAGTCTATTAGTACTTGCCCTACGAGGGCAAGAGCTGGTTGGCTAAACTCCTGGAATAAGCTTGATAGTTCATTGAAAACTTTCTGGTTTTCGATCCAGTCTGACACGCTATAGTTTCATAAAAGCTGAAGAGTGAAGACTAACGATAGAAGCTTCGCAAAACGATGTAGATTTTATGGCCACGGAAAGGTTGAAGAAATTCTAGAATTTAATGAAATTTAATGGTCACAAGATCGCAATTGACGGAATTGGTCTGCTGCTTTGGACCACAGTGAGCAGGAGAAAGGGACAGATTCCGAGCAGTCTACTTCGGTTCCGTCTCATCTGGTGTAGAAATAAATTTCTGAGCACGGACATGACTGAAACGATCGCTATCACATCAATCTGGACGGAATGGTCTTGACAAGGGCTGTAGCCCACCTCCATCGGAAGCAAATATCATCCAAGGGTTTTTCTCCATGGTCTGTCCGCACCGCTTGCACTCGTTAAATGTATATGTCGCATAAGATAAAAAATAGTCAATTTTTCAAATACACATATATATATATATTACTTCAAAAAAAATTTAAATTATTTAAAAGTTTTTAAATAAATTTTAATTTTTTATTATGTTTAATAAATTTTTATAATAAATAAATAAATTATTATTATTAATCAAATATTACTAATGTGATGCTTATGTGGAGGTTGATAATATCAAAACTTAGAATGAAGCACAACAAGATAAGCTGATTTGAGGTCGAATTCAACATTCTTGGCTCACTTGTTGGTGTTTAGTGGTTAGCAGTTTGGTTTGGTTACCCTCTTGTTTTTCCTTTTCTTCTCTTTATGATTTCTCCTAAACTTGATATTTTTATTTTGTTCTTAAATCAATATAATATAAAATTTTAATATGATTTAAACTCTAAAAAAGTCCTACATTAAGTTCATTCATTCAACTAAGTTTTGCAAATTTTATTATATTCAAATAAAATTTTAAATTTTTATTTTGAGCTAATAAAATCCTTAACCACAAATTAGAGTGTTCCATAAGAGTTTGTAAGAAAGCAAAATTACATTTAGAAAGAATTTTCTTTAGCATTTTGAAATAGTTCTTGTAATTACAAAGTTCAAGGTTTTGTTAATGTTTAATATATATATATACACAAACTTTGTAGATGTATGAATAAATTTTCTTAACAATGAGTTGCTAATTTTGAATGAATTGATTCATTTAAGTATTTATTTTAAGTCATTTAGATAAGTTATAATTTGGATATAAGTTAAAATATTAATACAACAAAAAATGGGTAGATATTATTGATGGTATCGAATGGTATATTACAACTAGAGACGTTTTTCGTGGAAGTCCTTGGGAGAAATGCGCTGGCTGTTTTGTTTTATTATTTTGTAAACTTTCAACATTGCTGTTATTTTATGGTCTAAAAACCTTGTAATTAATGTTAGAACTTCTGTTTATTGCAGTTAAATATGGGATTCAAAGAAGGGAAGGGCATAAGCACTTGTTTCAATCGAAAAACATCAGAAGTGTTCATGCGTAAGTGTGGGGTTGATCTGTGCTTGGTTTGCTTGTAAGATCCATGTGGGTCAGTGTAGATGATCTGTTCATTGAGTGTGCGTGTGGTGATTTGGGTCATGGGTGGTTGCTTTTTAATAGGCCCATGTTGGAGCCCGAGTGTGTTGGGACTTGGATGGGGCATCTGGTTTTGTTCAGGCCTGATTGGAGGTCATGTTTATAGGTTCTTTTTGTTGCGAGCTTGTAAGGCTCTTGGCCCAGTGGTGTTCTACCTTTCTGTTTTTTGGGCATAGCGTATTAAAATACCCGACTTTGATTAAATTTATGTATTATTTTTAAATTATTTTAATTTATTTAAATATACATTATGTAAATTTTAATAAATTCAATTTAAATATTATTTCTAAATTATTTCAAAAAATAAATATATAACATATAAATAAATTTTAATTATCAAATTATGTGGTTTAAAAATAATTAGTCAATGAATTAATTATATGATTATTTTAAATAATATCTTTAAGTCCACATAACGAAACATAATTTGTTACAAAAAAAAATTTAATTTACTAATTTGACATATGGACATTCGTAAGAACAAATTTTCTCATTCTACATGTGCAATTGGAGAGGATTTAGACATTACTTTCAATCCATGGTTGCCTAAGACTTTGAGTGATGTCTTTTGATTTAGAACAGAAAGAGTTCATACTTTTATAATGTGTTATCTTTTTTCCAGTGTCATTGTCTAAAGTGATTTTATTTGGTTACAATTAACTTAATCTTTGTTAATCTGTTAGCGTGTTTTGGACCTTGTCTTTTAATTTGATTTGTTAGTTCCTTAATTTAAAAGAAAGATTAAACTTACCTAAATCAGTGTTTTTTTAAAAAAATTTTTTCATTTAAAATGTTAAAATGTAACTTAAAATCAACTAGATTTTGTATCTTCTCTAAAGGAAAAACATATTTAATTGTTTCAAGTATTGATATATAATTTATTAACTAATTAAAAAAAATATTTAACTGTTTCATAGAAAAATATTAATTAAATATAAAGGCTTAATTTGTATATAAACCGGAAAATTAGTAAATGTGATGTACAACACCAGGAAAGCATGAGAGCATTTTTTTTTTATTACAACGCGGCAGGCAAGCAATAGTCAACGCTAAGGAATCAAAGGTCTGCGCGTGGGGTTATGCCGACTACGCGAGTTTCATTTGGAATATCAGCTTTAAAGAATTTTTATCAGCGTACATTTTCTTTCCAACCTATGCACATTTTACCTTGATTTCTATCTATTTTTTTTTTTGTTTCGGGTAGTCCCCTTGCTCCATAAAAAGTTTGGAGGAATTTCGCATTTTTATTGTAATTATAAATAAAGAAAATAAAAGAATACTGCAAGTCATCGATCGGGAATGGTGAAGGAGACGGAATACTACGATGTTTTAGGGGTCAGCCCTTCTGCTACAGAGGCCGAAATCAAGAAAGCGTATTACATCAAGGTGATTATCTCTCTCTTCCATTTTTATACTCTGATTTTACATCATCCATCTAGGTTGAGGGCAGACGATTAATGTTGGTAGATCCGTATAAAGATTGTATTTGATTGTAGAATCAGAGGCTACTTTTTCAAAGTTGAAACAATTCAAATTATTGTGTTTTTATTAGATTTAGTCAGTCCTAATAATTTTCCCCTTTTGTATTTTTGATTGTTTTTTCTTAAACAGAAAACATTTGATAGTAGAATCAGAGGCTACTTTTGCTTATGCAAAGACCAAACAATTCAAATTATTGTGTTTTTATTAGATTTATTCAGTCCTAATCATTTTTCCCTTTTTATTTTCGATTGTTTTTTCTTATACAGTAAACATATGTATGTCCTAATTCTTCCTCGGTCTCCAACTATCAGTTGCAGCTCTCCTGTAGTTATCGTCAGATTCTTAAGTATTCAACTTTTTCTAACAACAGCTTCACTTTGTTTATTGTCTGCAGGCACGGCAGGTTCACCCAGATAAAAACCCAAATGATCCTCTCGCAGCACAAAATTTTCAGGCAAGTCTTACCAAAAAAATGATAGTTCAATTAAGTGCTTGAGGTTTCTTACATTTTACAGCACCAAAAAAATGATAGTTTAATTAAGTGCTTGAGGTTGGTTTCTAGTATGTTATAAGTAATTCCAATTATTATAATCTGTATCTTACATGCAATAATGTTTTAGCACCATAAACTGAACTAACTTTAGCATTACCAAATGCAGATTGGCGTATTAGATCAGTTTCTTTGTAGTTTAACAATGGCAAAGTTTACATCACTTGCTTTCTACAATTTCACTCAGTGCAGAACTCTGATTGCAAAATGAAAACTTCCATGAGGAATGCCATGGGATGTAGTATGAATACTATTAATCTCTTTACCATTTCTTACCCTTATGTGTCAAGTGCCTCCTTCATAAGTTGTTGCTTTGTAATTTTTGTGTGCTATTGTTATTAAAACACTTGAAAATTGTTTCAGTAGAGGATAGTGGTCCTTTATCTGAATCTTGGGGTGTTTTTGTTAAGACCATATGGGCAGATACTCAGTAAGGTCCAAAAGGAAAAGAAGAAAATATTTAAATGTATAGTTTTTTTTTTTTTGAAACATAAAATGTGTAGTTATATGGGCAGCTTTTTTAATACTGTATGTGTAAGGTGCTAATTGTTTTAGTATTTGCCTTTACTGTGTTCAATATTTTTGACAATTCTCATTTTCTGTGTAAGTTCAATATTCTTGACAATTCTCATTTTCTAAGTGCTACTCAGGTGTTGGGAGAGGCTTACCAAGTTTTAAGTGATCCAGCACAACGACAAGCGTATGATGCTTATGGAAAATCAGGAATCTCAACGTTAGTTTCTTGTTCTATAAATATATGAATCTCAAGGTTCATAGGCTGTCTAAAAAAATTGAAAGAAATGTAATATTCTTTTCATGCTATTTATTTGATGCTTTTGTTTGCTTGCAGTGAAGCAATTATTGATCCCGCAGCAGTATTTGCAATGCTTTTTGGTAGTGAGCTTTTTGAAGAATATATAGGACAGCTTGCTATGGCATCAATGGCGTCACTAGACATTTTCACAGAAGGGGAGCAGTTTGATAGTAAAAAGTTGCAGGAGAAAATGAGGGTAAAAATTCTTATTTATGTTGTAGATGATAGAGACTTTTACTAGAATCTCAATTGTGACAGGGTGAGTAATTGATGAAAGAAATAGGGCAAAGAGAGTCTTAATTTAATAAACAGTGAGTTTGTTGCCTTTCTTGTAATTCTCTTATTGTTTGAACTGAGGTTTGTGGATGATTTCTCTGCTGTAAGTCAGTTTTTAGAAACCACCTCATGGTAAGTTTCACCTGGGTTAGGCATGGAAATCTTGGGAAACTAGGCATTGTATTGTAGGGAAAAGGGTTCAGATCTAATGGACGAGAAAAATTTAATTGGTTCTGTATATTGAGGACAAATATGTGGCTAGTAATAACTTACAGAGTTTCTGGAAAAATCAAACTAATAACAGAATATTTACTTATGTGGAGGTAGCTAGACGACTGATGTTTAGTGGTCACAAAGGTGTGTGCCATGTATGGCAGCACTGCTAATTTAAGAACTCATTGATTGTAAGATATAGAGACTGCAATATTGTAGACAGGGGCGAACCAGCTTTGACTTTATGAATTATCAATAACCATCCTGATGTTTTCAAGGCAACACTTACACCCTTCTAATATGTTTTGTTACATATAGGCCTGGGGGTGATGCCAAATTCATTTTATGATAACACAAACATGCCTTCAAGGGGTCACGTGACCTTTCCTTCTTCTTTATCAATTTTTCGAATGAAAAAGATATTTTTCATTAATCAACTAGGTTCAATCATAAGGCTGTGTACATATGACCCCTCTGTACCTCGCTTTGCAGGTGATTTTTACACAGGCCCTCCAACTAAGTTCAATAGTCTAATTGTCAATGGCCAAGAAAACCTAGCTCAAGCCTGATTGAGGCTTGAGCCCATTTTTTTTGTTGAAGAATTCTTGAAATATGGAATTGATATTTTCATAATAAATCAGTTTTCTTGTTTTGATGGCAAGTCAAATGCTATTGAATTTACGAGAAGTCACTGTGATCATACACTAGCTTCCACCTTTTTGTTCTTTACCATCTTACTTGGTTTTCTCAAAGAAAAGAAAAATAAAAACAGGTGAGGGTTAAAGTTGATATCATCTGTAATATTCTATTTAATGTCGACATATATTTAATGCATGTCCTGGCAGTATAACAAATGATTTAATTCTCAGTTTATGATGGATTGTTGGTTTGATCTTTCTTTTTCTATATAAATGTTTATTCATGAAACTTGACTCTGTTTCGTCTATTGATAACCCTTTGTCCTCATCACTCTCTTCTTATAAAGGACATTCTGAAAATTTTTCCATCAGTGCAAAATAAAAAGAAAAAAAAAATCTTTTCATAGAATTTATCAGTATTTCTTGTTGTTTGCGTGCTGTGCACTTACCAAAAAAATGATAAATTCTTTTTGATGTAAAACGTTTCTGGCTACAGATTGTTCAAAAGGAAAGAGAGGAAAAGCTTGCAGAAATATTGAAAGATCGACTAAATCAATATGTGCAAGGAAACAAAGAGGAGTTTGTTAATCATGCGAAAGCTGAAGTTTCCAGACTTTCTAATGCAGGTAATATTGTGTAAGGGTCAGAGAAAAGCAAAAATTTTTCTTCATTTTGGACATACTTCTAGTAAACATTTTTTTTAATTTTCCAGTACTTATATGATCTGGCCTTCTAAAATATTGCATAAATTAGCAAAGTGGGCGGTTATGAATACCAAATTGAAAATAAAATAAAACAGCAATATGTCTTAAAAATGCAGCCTTCTTAATGCTTGTAAGCGTTTAAGATTTGCGATGAGTTGAGCTTTATTCTTTTCATGGCTGTTTTGCTTATTGATATCAGTTAAATCTCACATTTGGTATTCAAAGGTTTTTTTTTCACTACAAAGAGGAATTATAAAATTTGATGATTTAATCTATTTTGGATAATTTCAGATGGATTTCTAATTTGAAAAGAGATTATATATAAAAAAGAGGTGCAATTTAATATTAACTCGTACTTGGATAAAAGCTCTAAATTGGGAGTCGAAAATGAATGTAAAAGTATACCAACAAATCTTAATTTAGTATAGGTATTACCTATTTTCTATGTCTAGTTTCCTCATTATCTATTGTTTGTTTATTGAATTTCTATTTTATATAATTGATTTTTGGTTGTGATAGATTCTGTGGTATATTTTCACAGCTTATGGTGTTGATATGTTGAATACAATTGGTTACATATATGTAAGACAAGCAGCAAAAGAACTTGGAAAGAAAGCAATATACTTGGGTGTACCATTCATTGCTGAGTGGTTTAGAAACAAAGGCCATTTTATCAAATCTCAAGTAACAGCAGTAACAGGTTAGTAGATCAATGGTTAGTAGACAATAATTATGTCTTGTTGGTAACTCGTTGGGCCTTCTAATGTTATCAAATTAAGGGTAGTCCTTTCTTTCAAACTTTTGTGCGATAATTCATTATGCTTTTAATATTTCTTGCAGTTAAGATTTCTTACTAAAGATAACTTTTGTGTTTTATCATTTTACCCTTCTGGTTGTAGGTGCACTTGCTTTGCTTCAGCTGCAAGAGGATATGAAGAAGCAGCTTAGTGCAGAAGGAAACTACACTGAGGAGGAGCTTGAAGAGTATATGCAATCTCACAAGAAGCTGATGATCGATTCATTATGGAAGCTTAACGTAGCCGACATCGAAGCTACTCTTTCCCATGTTTGTCAAATGGTTGTTTCACTAGTCCTTTTTTTATGGCTGTTAGATGGCACTGGTTGAGATTAGTTGTATGTTTACTGTAATCTATCAAATGTTTGATTTAGGTTCTTCAAGATAACAATTCCAAGAAGGAAGAGCTTCGAGCACGAGCAAAAGGGTTGAAAACTCTTGGTAAAATCTTCCAGGTGTGTGTTTTCTACCTTTTCTTTTTTTTTTCCCTTTTTCATCTTGATGTTTTATCATCTTTTCATTTCTTTAATTCATTTGAGCTTTCTTTAAAATACTATGGTATGATTATAGAGGGCTAAGTCAGCCAATGGAAGTGAGAGTGAATCTGTGCTAACTGATACAGTACATAGCACAGTACATACATTGAATGGAAGTGAACCAAGCTATGATGGCAGTTCTCCTAATGCATCCCCGAAGTCCTTAAACCTGGAAGACTCATCTTGTTCTACATTCGCAGCACAGGTATGGTTATTTTTCTGACTGATATCTTTTTTTATTTTTTTTATTTATGTAATGTAACTGCTATTGGTCCTTTTCTGGATTCATTAAATAGCATTATAACTGTTGAAGATTTATTTTTACCTAACTGGGATTTATGCAGACAATCAGAGAAATGTTCTTTCTATAGTTTGGTTAATTTTGGTTGCATTTAAGGGATCTGGGATTGTTCTTGTGGAAGGAGATATGAAGACCTTTAATCTGGCCTTTAAGATTTGAATTGAATTTCTTTCAGTGAGATTGAGAGAGGAGAAAGAATCAATGATTTAGATTTATTATCCCAAAACCTTCGAATTTTAAACTCAAATTTCTGATCCAAGAAGCTTTAACTAGCAGTGCCAAGTAATGCATAACATTGGAAATCCTTTAGATAGAAGAAGATGCTAAAACTTAAAGAAATACTTAAAATGTAGAGTAGGGGTTCTTTTGTTCAAAACAGTCAAACATTGGATATATACCTCCAGATACGGTGGCAATAAATTTTTTATTTTTAGAAATAGCCTGACTATGCCCCTTTTTTAATTTGGTAGGCGTGGGAAGTGGTGAAGATGAATAGTAGAGAATCAGACACATCGTACTTTTCTTTTCTGACCCATGATGCTACTGTTCTTATTTGGTATCTTCATTTTCTCTGACTATTTTAAACAATTGAACATTCTAGAGCCCTTATGTGGAGGCTCCTAACTTTGCGGATGCTCAGTTCACGTATAACTTCCCAAGGCCAACGGCACCACCTGGTGCGCAGAGACATCCATGAACTAGCAGACATTGAGAGGCCCGATCCCTATTGGTGTATGCTTGTATTATATAGCTATTGTGGGTGCAGCTGGCGGAGGGATTCCAGTGTCATATCATTGGTTCAATGCATGCCTATGTTTGAGTGATGAAGAGCCAATGAATGCCTATGTTTGAGTGATGAAGAGCACATCGAACCGGAGTGGGCAGGTGTTTAATGTATTTATGACAGATTAGATCTTTATGCATAGAGATAAAATGGTTGTAGAATTATGATTATTTCTATTGTAACAGGTTGGCTGCGTTTGGCTGCTTAGTTACTTGAATGTTTGTTTCTTTGGAATTGATTTTGCATTGCATTTGTTGTGTTTTCGTTTTAGAATGTAAATTAGTGGTTACATATACCTTCTTGTGAGATCTATTTATTTGGAAAAAGAGGGGATTTTGGAAATTCAAACTTTGTGATACATGCAAGGTAGTGCAAATAATTATATGTTATGCTGTAGCTGGCGCCGAGATTAAATGAGATTAGTAATAGCATAGAATTTCTGCCTAAAACAATTTGTCCACTTTTGATACTAGCACTCTTTTTCAAAACATAATTTCTATATATATTTATCAAAACACTCACCTAGTGAGTGTCCCAACTCCAATCATGATATAGGCATTAGCGGGCAATCTGCCGAGCTATGGATGAAGAAAAAACCGCTCGAGTTACCAAGAGAGGCGAGGGGATCCTGTGCCTACTACTCTAATTTGCAGTAGTTAAGCATACTCTTCTGTTCATTTTTGAGAAAATCCTCGAATAGTAGTGAAGATTTCTTTTCGTGTTCTCTCGAGGGATAAAAATTCTTCCGATAACTAATAATTGTTAATTTGAATTTCGAAACACAACAACGGGATTCAGATAATATTTGTGGTAGAATAGGAGTCTAATTCTACTGTGGTAGAAAAAGAGCAATTCTATGAGAGTTTTTTGGTAAGAATTTCAACAGATAATCACAACGTCTTTAGTTAGGAGTAAACACAGAAAGCGTTAACGATTATCGGGAAAAAAATTAGCGTTGTTTTACCAAGAAATCACAAAATTTCTTGTAAAATACAAAAACGGCCGTTGCTGGTCCCGTTGAAAAGGTGCCGTAGGGACGTAGGAGGGACAGTAATAATAAGGAAAGATACTTGTTTGGTAACACCGAAAATTAGGAAGACCATAAAAGCAGAAAAGAGAAGGAAAGTCTCAACTGGAGGATGTTTTGACTAAAGGCGAAATCCACAAGGAGAACTGGGAGGGTAAAAGATTTGACTGGGTGAGAAGTGAATTGGAATTGGAATTGCGAGTTGGCATTGGGGATAGAGCTTCTTTTTTTCCTTTCCCTGAAGAGAGCGAGAACGCCTTTGCTTTCTTTCTTTGCATCTCGCCGGCCCATCCTCCGCCAATTTCTCTCTCTCTTTTCCTCAGATCTTCAGCTCCCTTTGCTTGTTGTTTAAAGTAGATTTATTAATTGACTAATTGATTTATTGATCGCTCGAGATCCGGCGTACTGCTATACGTCGTAAAGGGAATGTGAAGTCCGCAATCAATTCAAATTCAAAGCGAAGCCGCGTTGTACATCCTGTTGCCCCTTCCAACCGAAGCCGCCTTGTATTGCTTTCTTCAAGCTATTATATTATAATTCCGCCTGAGATCTGGTCCCTTCCCTGCCAGTTCCCTTGATAGTTATCAACGAAGCAATTGTGCTAACGTAAAACAGGACGAACGAACAAGGATATGGAGTCGCAACCCGAGAAGAAATCGTCGTCTGTGTCAGATGTGGGAGCCTGGGCCATGAACGTCATCAGCTCCGTTGGAATTATAATGGCTAACAAGCAACTCATGTCCTCCTCCGGTTATGCTTTCGGCTTTGGTATGTCTCTCATCTCTGGATCTTCTAATTTTAAATTTGGATCTGTTTTCATCTGTTGTGGGTGGATAAGTTAGCTTTCGCGACGTTATGCAGTCGAGATCTAAGACCTACCAACTTTAAAAACCATTTCTTCCCCTTTTTCTAAGAAGCTAAAAAAGGGACAAAACTGACGTTGCCCAATGTTGTTTACAGCGACGACCTTAACGGGGTTCCACTTTGCGGTGACGGCGCTGGTTGGTCTGGTTTCAAACGCAACTGGTTTGTCGGCGTCGAAGCATGTTCCTCTATGGGAACTTCTGTGGTTTTCTATCGTTGCAAATATGTCCATCACTGGGATGAATCTCAGTCTTATGCTTAACTCTGTCGGCTTCTACCAGGTATTTTTCAGCTACATTTGCTCTTCTATCGATTCAATTCATTTCTTTTCTGTCTCCCACAATATTTACTACTATGAGATTCACAACATGCTATGGGAATTATCCGAGAAAAATGAATCCATTGTTTTGCCTACAATCCTCGTACTGCTGCTGCAAGAATCTTAGCTGATTTAAAAATTTTGAACGCGTCCAAAATCTTCAATACCTTTCTCTTTCCTTAGCCTAAACATGGTAAAGCGCTGTTCATGTCAGTTTTTCTTAAAACAAAGGCAAGATAATTAATTGATTTATTAAAACACATCTAGACATTTGTAAGGGTACATAGAGGATGTATAATGACATTAAGGTACATGGAGGGTATGTAATCTCTTCAGGCTTTTGAAAGGAACATTTGTCTGAATATTTTCACCCTTATCTTTTACCTTTTGTGTGCGTATGAAATCCAAACACCCCACCCCCCTCCGTCTCTTTTTCCCTCCTTTTCAGCTAATTATCTCAATTTTCTGGTGTTACAGATTTCAAAACTCAGCATGATTCCAGTGGTCTGTGTGATGGAATGGATTCTTCACAGCAAGCAATACTCAAGGGAAGTTAAAATGTCTGTTTTGGTTGTGGTTATAGGTGTGGGTGTTTGCACTGTGACTGATGTCAAAGTTAATGCCAAAGGTTTTATATGCGCATGTGTAGCAGTTTTGTCTACCTCTTTGCAGCAAATTGTGAGTATTTCTTGTCATTACACTCTCTTCCTCTTTTTTTTTCTATCGTTCGGCTAACAATCTACGAAGTTAGTGGCCAATCTTATATGTTTTGGATGTGTTGTTTGATTCTCTTTCTCTGCTGTGGTGTTGTTTTTAAGCAGCGTTCTGTTTTTTAAATAAATCAGTTTCACCATGACTTCATAATAGGATTCTATTTCTAGTTGCTTGGGATTAGGAATTCTCAGTACTAAGAACTAGATCTTTAGCTGTATAGTTACACAGTATTTTTTTATTTTAGGTTGCTTGCAAAACTAATGTGATAAGGCCATGAGAAATTTTATGAAAGCATTGTGGCCTAGCTTCATGTTATTATTTTATTGGTTAGTTATATTTGCTATTATTGGCTGCTGGGCTGGACCTAAAATAATGCGAATGCTAATGGTATATTCAACAAATGGCTAAATTGTCACAGGATCAACTTGTCTCCCTGTTTTACATTTACATATTTATCAAAATGCACCTCTACATTTCAAGTCACTTTGTAGGTCTTAGTGTAGAATTTAATCTACACTGTGCTGACATCCGGTGACTTCTGAATAGAATTTAGGTGTTGAATTAGGTTGCAAAAAGGTGCAAACCAATGTTGGTATATTCAAGGGCAATAAATGAAATAAAGTCAAAGCAATATTATGGTTTTCTTCCCTCTCTTTTCCTTTTTATGGTTTTCTCATATCATTGTAAGAGCGTATGCTCTATTTGTGAGTGCTTATCATACAATGCTTGTAGCATGGAGGGTAATCTATGAGAGAAAGAAACGGGAGGAAGAGGAAGAGCAGGCTGGATGTGTTGGCTGTTGACAGGCCTGTGGGAGGCCAAGGAGGCTGCAATTAATAGCAGCCTGGGAGCAGTAGGAGGGCTGCGGTATTGAGTGGACAGAGGGAGGCTGAGATGCAGAAAGAGAGGAAATTCTGGAAAAAGAAAAGAATAAAGAGAATTAAAAAATGATGTGGACTCGTTTGACTGCCACATAATTTTCCTTGTGATATGTTTTTAACTACATAATGAGATTTAACAGATATAACAGATTCTGTTAACCAGTTTCCTTAATCGGCACAATCGCAAAAGTATTGATAACAAATTGAACTAAATGAAAGTTCATATCCTACATTCAACATTTGGTTAAAGGTCGAGTCTTGATGTGAGCATTTAGCCTTTTATTTTTTTCTGGTGAAATAAGTCTTAACTTCTGGTTTCTTTCTGTTTTCCTTTGGAGTAGACGATAGGTTCCTTGCAGAAGAAGTATTCAATTGGATCTTTTGAGTTGCTGAGTAAGACAGCTCCGATTCAAGCCCTCTCTCTCCTTATTCTTGGTCCATTTGTGGATTTCTATCTTAGTGGCAAATTTATAACAAACTATAAGATGACTTCTGGTGCTATTGTGAGTAACCTAACTTCCTTTTTGTTGAAGCTCCAGCCTGCTGCAATTTGTGTGAAATATTTTACTGACTATTCTTGGTGTTTGGTTTGGACCCATGCAGTTATTTATACTTCTTTCATGCTCTCTAGCAGTATTCTGCAATGTGAGTCAGTACCTATGCATTGGACGATTCTCAGCTACCTCATTTCAGGTTTTGGGGCATATGAAAACAGTATGCGTTCTCACTCTTGGGTGGCTGCTCTTTGATTCTGCGCTCACTTTCAAGAACATAATGGGAATGATTCTTGCCGTTGTGGGCATGGTAATTTATAGTTGGGCTGTGGAGGTTGAAAAGCAGTCTAACACCAAGGCCTTACACCCGATGAAGCACAGTCTAACAGAAGAGGAAATTAGGCTTTTGAAAGAGGGAGTTGAAAACATTCCTGTGAAGAGTGTTGAACTGGGTGACTCCAAAGTATAGGTATGTTGATTTTGGAAAGGAAATATAGGTATTTTTGTCATTGTCAGTTAGTCTGTATCTTCCCAATATTTATGTGGTAGCAAAACTTGGTTTCAATCTGCCTGACATTTCACACATTCATTTTAGAAATCTTGGTCCATTTCATTTCATTTAATTTTTTTTTCCACATTTTAGTCATCTTAAATTATTGTGTGAATGTCAAGAAAGCAGTAAAAGAGATCGTGACAGGACAATTGTATTGTCAATGACACGCTAGTTCAAATATTTATGTACCCATATTGAATTCCCCAAAGTTTTTGGATTTTCTTTCATGGCCCGGTATCAGAATTGCCACTGCTTGAAATAAAACTATTGCCATGTGTGTAGTGCAGCTAATGTGATTGAGGGTGACAAATTTTTTTTTTTAACTTGAATATTCTTAAGCGAGCCTCAATCTTCATAGGGATCTTCAATGTTGAAGAAAGTAAACATTTAAGCTGTCCTATGCTTAATATTAAATTTGAGGTTCATATACAACTAATATTCTAACAAATTGATCATCGGATTTAACAAGCTAATTATACCCAGCATGCACATAAAATTTCAATTTTAAGTTAATTTGATATTCTCATTATATTGATTAAAAATATTAATTTTTTCAATATATATTTAGTCGTTGAAATTTTATTATTATCAAATAATTAATTGAATATTTTTTATTCATATGAATTTGGGCATGTATAACTCCTATAAAAAGATATTAAAGAGTATAAAACTAATTTAATTTCGAAATCACTGTAAATAGATCCATTCTCCCTCTCTCTCTCTCTCTCTATATATATATATATGCATCCAATATTTTAAATGACGTTTTTTTTAGTTATATATTCTGGTGATTAATGAAATTTTTTGCCTGAATTATTTAAAAAATTGAAGAAATACTTTTGGTATTTTCTTTAATTAAAAATAAACGTAAAAAAAAAAGTTCTTTGGCCACAAAGGAAAAAAAAAAAGAAAAGAAAAGATTGATAATACGTTTGCTCAGTTCGAGATTGATAGCGTCCTAATACATTACAACTGTTATATCATATATATTTTATGTTCCTCACTTGATAGTTACCCAGCTCAGTTCACGAACTTTCTCGTCCAGGTATTATTCTCAAGAACTAGAACACTTTAATCCCACGACCTTATCTTTTGAATATAAAATTTTTCCCCAAATAGAATTACAAGATAAGAATATATGTTAAAACAGATAGAAAGAAGATAAAAAGAAACAGAAAATGAGTTTTAGTAACTGATGTGGATCCTTCACATTGTCAGCCGAACATAGGGGGAAAAAATGACCCCAAAGCGATATATACAAGAAGTCCATCACAATCTCAGGACTTCGTCTGGGGAAAAGAATCATTTTCGAAAAGATAAAACCCAACAAAAACAGAAAACAAATCCGTAAAGAAGAAGACGGGGTATGATCGGCGAGCATTAGTAGCATCGGAAGCATAAAACTTAGAAATGAAGTCCGCGAGATCCATGTAGTGGGCAGAGGGATTACTGGTCTTGAGTAGATTAACGAGGTAGAGGAACAGATCGGTCTCGCAGGCTAACCTGAGGGCACCATCGTATGAATAACCAAATTCTTGCTCAGAGAGACGAGCCAGGCTCTAAAAGAGTGGATGGTTCGGGAAATTGGCCTCCAATTCGAATTTGCATTGGATGTCTTTCCCTACGTAGACCCGTACATGACCCTCAGGGACGTCTGCCTAGTCTGTGGCGAACCTCTTTGCTCCTCTCCGCAGCAAAATAGCTTCTTAACTATGCCACCCATTTTCTTTTCTTGCTAACTAGCCCGTTTCCTTAGCTCTCAATTCCTCTTTTCTGCTGGTTTGCTTGTTGTATTGCTCCTGCGCCATCGTAGACGTCCTTAATGTAGGATATATAAATATACATGAGTGCTTGCATGGTTAAAGTCATGTCAACCAACCACAAGTCTAAGGAAAACAAAAGAGCAAATAATTGGAGTGAGGAATATCGGTGGAGCCGCCGAAAAGTAGTTGGCTGGAAAGCTACTATTTGTGACTTTATGGCATATGTCAGCTTTATCTGGTGCGGCTTGGCTAAGTGGCTGGAATAGCTAGATCCATGTTCCAGGATGTTTCTATTTTAAAATAATTCAACGTACATCAAATTCCAGAGCAACCTGCATGAATCCTGCAAAAGTAAACAAGTCTTGAAATTAATGAGGAAGAGCAGGCTTGGCAGTCAAGTCAAGGCGAACTAGAAACCGCGTATTAAGCGGGATAAAGCAGCATTATTAGTAGTAGGCTGTAATTATTATTATGTATTATAATATATTCCCTATTCAGATAATTATACAAATTATGTTAAAATAGAATAAATGTTGTATTATAAAATTATATATATTAAATATGGGTGAATAAGTCAATCATTATCTCTAATTAGATATTGTAGTCTATCTAAATAATAATTATAACTAGATAATTTATATAATTATTAAGTGTTTGATATTTTGACATAAAGATAATTTTTTAATTAATTTTATGATATGAATAATTTATAGAAAAAAATTTCAAACTTGTTTATATTCTATACCCTTATTCTCATTTTAAAATATAATTTAAGAAAAGAAAAGTTAAAATAAAATAATAATCATTATATAAAACAATGACAATGAAATTAAGGAATCTAAGATCTAAAACCATAAGAAAGTATTGTACTCATGAATTATAACATAACAATATTGATGCCTTTTATTTATCTCCAATTAAAACAGGAAACATAAAACAAAATCCAATTGAAGAGATAATGCATAAACATTTGAGGAGATAGATTTCTAAAAACTAGAAATACAATCCAAAAAGTATTTATATCTACAGAATAAAAAACTCATTATCACAATAAAACCTATAATTATTATGATTTAAAATACAATAAAATCTATAATAAATTAATAATTATTCAATTCAAGAAAATTTATAATAATTATTTCATTCAAATTAAGGGTGTCAATATATATGTTATTAACTGGTAGACTTGTAGTTTACATGTAGACTGTGCCTGACAAAGCCCACTTTTACATGGTGAATAATGATAATACACTACAACCTCCTCTTCCACAGGTGAGTAAAACTAATAAAAAATCAAGGAGAGCTCCTGCTACCATAAATCATTATGCTCAACAGTCTGATTTGAATTTCGATGTTAAAGAATGATAAATGGAAGAGATGATAACATTCCCAGCAGACCTTCAATCTGCAGCTGCAAAGCCTCGTTACAATCAAGAGAGTTTTCTATCCTCAATTAGGGCACCTTGGACTTGTAGGGGAGCAGATGCAGTGCTAATCACAGTCCAAGCCACATTCCTCCAAAGGCGGGCCATCTGATTTGGCAACGAATGGGTTCACATGAACCCACAACAGGGAGAAGACCGAAGCGAACAAAATTGACCAGATAATAATAATCGTGGGAGTCCTATTCCCTCGACCCAACATACCCTTCAGGAAGGGATAGAGGTGAGCAAGAACCCAGAAGGCAAAAAAAAGCTTACCAAGCAATGGTCCCCATGAATCATAACCATTATTTATTGCATTTGAGATAGCTGCAATCACTCCTATCAGGTTTACTATAAGTAGTGTTGTTGGGGGGATGAGCAAAGTTGTCCACTTCAATGCATACAGCTCGGAGAACTCTCCATCGTCCCCTGCCTTGGAAGTCATAGTACTGAAGTTGGTATTAACACCAGCTATAACCTTTAAAAGCCCTTGGAATACAGCAAATACATGCGCTGAAACCCCTCCAATCACCCAAAATTGCTGATTCCTCCACCATTCATCAATACCGACTCCACTCCATCTCATTTCCAAGATGCTTGTTGCAAAAATACAAATGAAAAGCGACACGAACCACAAGCTAGCAACATTGTTGAGCTGCAAAATGTACAGACCATTGAAGATAATTAAGTTCACATCATTACAAGGATGCCTTGACAACGATGTAAACAAGTTTCAAAAATGTATATATAAAAACATTGCACACAAACACCATGGTTTATCATCTCCCTTGCTAATTTTGTGGTTGGAAGCTTTTTACCTCTGGAATGATGAAATTCCCTGTCAGCAGGCACACAGCAGGAAGAGCACAATATGCCACCAGAGGAATCGAGGTCCATGGATATACAGTGGCATTTATGTAAGAAAGACGCTCCAACCACCTTAGGCCACCTCCGTATCCATACCAAAGAGGACAATGCCTGCTCAAAAATATTTCAATAGATCCAAGGGCCCATCGGAGGACCTCGTTCAGACGATCGGAAACGTTGATGAGAGCAGATCCCTTAAATGCTGGCGTAGCAGGAACACAATATATGGATCGCCACCCACGGCAGTGCATTTTAAATCCTGTTAGTATGTCCTCCGTAACTGAGCCATAGATCCATCCAACCTAGATCACAAGAAATGTTTGTATGAATTATATCTTTTTAAGGAGAAAATGTTAAATTAAGAAGAATATTTCAGCATGATAATCCAAAAATTGTTGCTACCTCCTTTCCCCAGTCTGTTTTATCTTCGTAGCCACAACTGATGACATGGATGGCTTCTTTAAGCAGAGATGCAGGGCTAGCACCATTCACTGTTCCACCATCCTCTAGTAAGGTAGAGGCAATAAAAGTAGGGGACTGCCCAAACTTCTTTTCTAACTTCTGCTCAGAGATAGCAAACTTATTCCCTGCCTTCCCTGTATTCAAGCTCTACAAAGTCAGATGACAAGATTATCAAACTTGCTGGACAAATTAGGGTACTGATCTCATCTTGATAATGGAAAGACAATATTCATATGCCTACAAAATCAGTGAGTTCTAGAAAATATTGATTTGACTTTATATGCTGACATTAAAAGTATGTTCTGGTAGGTATTTTTACAGTCTCAAAGTATAGCATTAGGTAAAAGGCTCAAAGTTCTCTACAGGAAAGGCTTGAGCCCCATTATCATGTACAGTCTGGATCGAGCAGATGCACGGCTACAGCAATTTCAATGCTTTGCATAATTTCATTTGTTAGTCAAACTTGAATAGTCTTGCGGGAGAGTTCAAAATGTACAAAAATTGCATACAACACCTTCTTCGATAACATCCGTAGCAGTACACACAAGTGGTGATGCTTCTTCATCTCTTTGCTTAGTATTTCTTGCCTTCCGTTGTTTATTAGGTAGCTTCTTCTTTCTCCTTCCTGAGCAAAAGCATCCACAGCACCACTTAGGCCAACAGTTGCATGTCCTCGTTGGCGGCTTCTTCGGTTTTGGAGCATCATAACCGTAAAGTGCTAGTCTTCTAAATACACATCCGGTACCAACATACATAGGCCCTTGAATGCCATCCAAACCTTTCATATTAATCTGAGATGGAGCAATTATACATTATATTTCGGAGAAAGATTGACAAAACAAAAATTCGATAAATAAATACTTACATCAAAGAATACGGTGTTCCTGTTGCCATATCGGTCATGACTGTCAATGCCATCAAACCTCTGGGGGAACTGGACGTAACACACTCTCTTTCCTAGCAATGGATCCATCATGAAACACATCGCCTCTCTAAGAGCCTTACTATTATTAATGTAGTGATTGCAATCCAAATTTAATACATATGGAGCATTTGTGAGCACAGCAGAGACTCGAACCTATTTGACAACCAAGTACAAGATTATTAATTAAATTAAAATGTCTAATTATATTTATCCATATAAAATGTCACATCTTGTCAGCTGAAAGAGAATATGTTCGCCATCTTTAGAAGTTTACCAAAGCATTCATTGCTCCAGCATTTTTATGGTGAGAAAACCTCGGTCTCTTTTCTCTAGAAACATACACCAGGCGTGGTAATTCATTTCCATCAATGTCATGTCTTTGTCCAAGAAAAACCTGTGAAGGATTGCAAACATAAGTAGGACATAAAAGGTTTCTAATGAGAATCAGATAAAATGCCAATCCATTGAACGTACCTGAATCATTCCAGGATGATCACGGATATTATTCCCAGGCCATGGAGTTCCATCCTGCATAGTCCACCCTTCTTCTGGAACCTTTCGAGCCTTGGCAACCAAAGCATTGATGCGAACTTTGAACTTTTCGTACTCTCTCTATAATTACAACAGGCATTGGAGTTACCATGTGATCCGCCATAAATAACAGAACAATTTCAATGACCATGGAAGCCTTGTTACCTTCATTGCTCTCCTTTCCCTCACAAATGATGGTAACACCTTATCTTTCAGGTAATCTATCTTTTGTGCAAAGTACCACTCAGGTGCCCGTGGTTCAATGTTAAATTTCTTACAAAAGGGGACCCACTTCCTCGCAAATTCAGATGCTTCAGACAGTGCCTCAAATGTTATCATAGCAGCAGCATCATCAGAAACATAACAAGAGACTTTTTCAACAGGGTAATCCACTGCAAGAATGGATAGAACAGTGTTTACAGTCACCAGTGGGGGTTCTTTCACCGGATCAACTGTACTTACGAATACGTCAACATGAGAAAGTTGAGAAGGTTCCCCCTCCTTCTCATACCTGAAAAGGAGAAAAACAGGGCAGAAAATATTCAAAATCTAGACTGTAAGCACTGTTGCATGAGTCTGATCACTTTGCAGATTACTTACCTCAAGGATAATCGATCCAGATAAGTTTCCCTGTCAATTGGAAACCACTTCGGGAATTGATCAAAAATCCATGAAAGAGAAAACCAGATTTCACAAATGACAGATACAAGCCATAACGCATAGGCGTCATTCACAGGGTGCATGACTCGATAGTGAAAGAAAAATCCAAGAACTACAAGTCGAATTAGGATGATCATCCGGTATGGGTTGATTTGGCTTGATGGAATGCGCAACTTTCTTGACAATGGTTGTCTAGCTTCATCCATTCTGATCCACAAGCAATAACTATTAATTTAGCCAAGAAATTGGAAAAGAATAAAGAAATTATAACTTATAATCAAATATGAAGCAAAGCACTCTTTTAGTCTTTTATCATTTCTTCAAGGAACTTGTTAAGTTTTAAGGCTTTAATGGGGATTGTACTAGTCAAATGACAACTAAAGTGAATTTTACATAATTCAGGAATTATTTTGGGAAGAAAATAAGAATGGTGGCAAGTATCATTACATCAATGCTTGCCTGATTTTACTAATATGAAAAGAAAATTGTGCTCCAATTATATGTGAGTCTACTAAACCCAAAAAAAAAATATGAATAAAAAAGTCCTAGTGGGGAGCTTACAGTGGTAAATCAAGGTCATCAGAATAGCCATCTTTGCTACCATCATCAGACTTCATCATATGTAATTTTTCTTGCTTTTGTTTCCAAATCTCAATCCTCTCCTTCCAAGCAACACTTCCATAGCCATAAGCAGCTAAATCCTTGGAAGGATCCATGGCTCTAGGTTGCACTGCAAAAGGGAATTAGAAAGGAGGTTGATGTTCAACTACATCAAAGAGATGCATCTAAACAAAAATTAGTATATACCGGGAAGAGAGGGATCTGGAAAAAGAAGGGGGTGGATCTTCTTGCCACCACCACCCATGAAGGAAGGGCCCAAAGCATGCTGGTCAGGGGGTGTATCATCAACCTGGTAGTGGCAAAAGTTGAAGCGAACAAAAGAAAAAGAGTGAGAACAAGGCGGCCGAGCAAGTAATTAATGATCATACGAACTACTAGCATCATTTACATCATTTATCACAGATAAACTAGGATGTAGTAGATAAAAGAATTAGTAAAAGGTAAATACCATTTGACCATTAGTGAGAAGGGGAAGTTGGTAATCGGGATGAACAACAACACGAGGCAGATCAGAGACACAGGTGATTGCATCGGCAGCAAAACCATGGTTCATATCCTGCCCGTTGCTCCTTCCCTCCAAACTGAACTCATTCTCCAAGTCATCAATGTCATCTTCTTCTTCATCCCCATCCACTCTAGCACAGCCTGAACGGCGAGTACCGAGCAGTGAACCGTCAGACTAAAGTAGTAGCTAGAGAATAGACAAGAGAAGAGTAGACTAAAGCAGTGAACGGTGATTACCCTTGAGACGTTTGAATCTGGTCTTGCACTGAGGGCACACTTGACTTCCTTCCCTGCGCTCGTATTCATAGCAAGCGCGGCAAATGGGGAAGGCACACTCATTGCAGGCCACGAACAGCTCTCCCTCAATTGTCAGTCCGACATCATCCCCGCATATATGACATGTTTGGCCACTTAAATGCTCCGCCGCCTTTCGCTGCAACACCACTCGCTCTCATTTTCATGATTCATTTCAACGTAATTCCTTTTTTTTTTCTTTTTTATTCTGGCTAATTCAGAGTTCATGGAAAACAAGTGCAAGTGCGTGTCATATATATCTATAGTATATAAAAGCTACTTACAGAAGAGTCCTCATCACGAAGAATAACTACGAGCTCGTTCCGGTTGTGAGATCCTGCCACTAAACCAGCACTCGCTTGCATTGCTTTCGCTCTTTCTCTCTCTTATTTAAACTTATAGAGGATCTACCCACTCGAATGAGATCTTGAATACTGCTAAATCAGATTGGTTGCCCTGTATTGCTTTTCGGAATTTTCTTCTCTGTCCCCCGAGTCTCCCCCAGTCCCTCTGCTGGCAGACTTCCTTTACGTTGCCACCTCTACCTCTCTCCTTCATTAACCGTCTTGTTCATTGCTTGTTGATTCCCCTACGCCCCCGCCACACATCCTCTTCAGCTAAAAGTTTCCCCATAATCGTACCACCATCTCCCTGGCTTTCTTTCTTCTGCTACAATTATCACTTAGCGCTAATAACAAAACAAACAAAACGATAAGCAGGAGTGTGTGTAAAGATAAGTAGGACTCAGTAGGAGTGTTATCGATAAGCAGGACTAATAAGATTTTCCTTTTTTAATTAAATAATAAAAAATATTTCCCCAACCTACCTTATCTCCGCCGAACACGTGTAATTCGGTAATATAACATTTGGTAAACACAAGTTGGCAACCTCCCTCTCCATAATCTCTATCCGTCGACTGTTACGGAAGAGTCAGATGCAAAGCACAAAGCAAAGGACGGCATTGAATGAAAACACGCAATTTTAGCTTGGTAGCCGGAGAATACAATTGTAGTATTTTCTTTGAAAAGAAAGAAACAACGGAAAAACCAAGCATATGTGCGATTTTAACAAGGCTACATCCTCATACATATTTCATATATAGGACTTAAATAAAGCATAAATTAATGAAAAACGGTTATTACAAAGATGAATTTCTTTTTCTTTTTTCTTAAGAAAACAAAGCAATGTGCATAGGTACATGAATTTTGGCTGATGCAGCAACTGAAACAAAAAAAAAAAAAAAGGGAAGTTCAAATCAGGCAATGGACTTAAAAATAATGAGAGTTTGCTACCGTATCAGAATACGTTTATTTGAAGAAAAATGCAGCTTTTGAAAATGGTGAAAAAGAAATTGAATGTTCTATTATACCCTTGACTTCAACTTGAATTTGCAACTTTCAACCTTTGAAAAAGAGAGAGAAATCGAGAGGAGAGGAGAAGAGAAACCATCAAACACACGCTGGTAGAATCGTGCCATCGGAAATGACTGAAAGCAAGCCAAGCGGGCTATGAAAAATCTGGATCTGGTCGCAGAGAGCATCTCGCCAACTACTTTGCCTTTATTGCTTGGCTGGCAATTATGGATCGTTGGGGGACTTCACTGTCATGTACTACTTCTCGTCTTTGTAATGTAGAGGATTCGCAAGAGAGTAGAGACCACTTATTATTCTCAAGCTGTCTGGACCAAAGTAGTGCAGTTTTTCCCAGGATATCCCTGGTGATTGGAATACTGAATTTAACTGGGTAAGGCATCATTGAGGGGGAAGTTCTTCTGTTCAAACTCTGCTTGAGACTAGCTTGACAAGCTATAAGAAATGCTAGGAAGTTCAATAACAAGCAGCAAACCCCTGATGATGAAACTTAGTTCATTATCTCATGTAGCTGCTACTCCTCAAAATATGGATATTTGTAATGGTTGGAGGATCAACTTTCTGTCTATTGTTAGTTTCTTGTGTTGCTCATAGTTCGTGGTCTTCGTACACTGTATTTCTTGTAGCAGGTGATCTTTCCCGCTTCTTTTGCATGAACGCAACTTCAATTATCCTAAATAAATAAAATAAAATCTGCATAAAAAAAAAAACTTGGCATAATATACAAAAAAATTCTTAAACCATTCAAAAAAAAATTCAAATATAGCCTTATACTTTTATTTCCTTTGATCAAACTTTATATTTTTATTTTAAGTCAAATAAATTTTTATATTTTTTTGAATCAAATAAACCTTTATAATTGATAATTTATTTAATTAAAATATTATTTATTATTTTATATCATGTGACGTTAACGTAATATATTAAAATATTATAATTAATTATGATGTGATATATTGATGTATCATAATTGATAATAGTATCACATGTTAATTTGATATAATAACTTGATCATGAAATATTTTTTATTTTTTACATTAATATTATATCAATACTATATCAATACCATATTAATATAAAATGATAAGTGATATTTTTAATAATTATAATTAATCAATCATTAATTATAATAATTTATTTAATTTAAAATAAAATTACGAAAAATTAATTAAATATAATAAATAATAAATATTTATTTAAATATTTTTAAAATTTATTTAAGCATTATGCTATAATACTTTAATAATGATTGGGAGACTGTGAGGCCGAAGAAAATTGGGTTTTGAGAATTGCCTTAAAAGCATTGGCCCAAAAGTGAACTAAAATGCGAGCCCAACAAATGAGAGTAAATATTCCATAGAGGAAAAGGCCGGAAATAAGTTCACTAAAGAATTAAAAAAAAAAAAAGCCTGAAATCTGAATGCCAACTTGCAGCCCACAAAAGTGATTGATGGTTGATAATTTACCGACCGAGCAAGGAGTCAAGAGGGCAAAGGAATTTTCCTCTCCCCTCCAAGGCTGCAACCATAGGCAAATTAGTCCTGAATAGGGTTTACGAAGACCTGCAGGTGATAATGGTTTACCTCTAGTTGGGAAAAGTTGGAGCAGAATCGTATTACTCTATTGGAACCAGAGGAGTTGTGCGGATTGGCGGCGAGGATTGGAAGGGTAAGAAAGAGTGTTAAATGGTTGATTCTTTTTTCAACTGTGTGGAAGGATGAGAGGTTATGATATGCCCACATGCATGTTGTAGATTTCCTTTTTCTTCTTGGAGTTTTGGGCAATCCTATTTGCAGATGCAAATAGAAGTCTGGTCTGATTGATCGAATGGTGTAATGCGTATTACAACTATCGGCTTTTTTTTTTTTTAAAAAAAAAATTTTGTAATAGTAAATACATATATGACAATTGAGGTTGGTTCGGTTTGAATTTGGCTCAGGCCAGACCATGGTTTCCTCAACATCCCCCCTTGACGAATATGATCGCTTTCACGATTACCCTTTTTTTTCCAGAAAGCGGCTTAAAGTTTCAGATCGCAGATCAAATATCTATTCAGGCCTCTCTCCTGATTCTGCATCTTCGATTTGCGGGTATTATTATTGATATACTTCTTTTGTTGCTTCAGCTTGAGCCCTTCTTTTTCTCTGTGCGTGTGTGTGTGTTTTAAATCGTATTTATGATTCGGCAGTGATGAACAATCTGCAACGGAGATGAGTTGCCAATCTAATGGCAATAGCAGTGGTGTTCCTCAATCTTGTAATGACGATGGAGGTTCATGCCAAGACAAGAGTTACGCCAGCTATGCACCATCTTCTTTTGCGAGTGGATGGATGTATGTAAACGAACATGGACAGATGTGTGGCCCTTACATCCAGCAGCAATTATACGAGGGTTTATCTACTGGTTTCCTGCCTGATGAGCTCCCTGTTTATCCTGTGGTCAATGGGACTGTGATTAATCCTGTTCCCTTAAAATACTTCAGGCAGTTCCCTGGTCATGTCGCAACTGGATTTGTGTATCTCAGTTCAACCACAGCTTCCAATTGTTTCAAGTCTTCCCATACAAATTTCCAGAACATCCTTTCTCAATCACAAATCAACTGCGATGGTTTTGATGCATCCAATGACCTCATTTCAAGCTCTCTTTTGCAGGTATGATTGTTTTTTTTCCAGTTCAACCTCTTCTTTCCCCCTTTTCCCTAACACTTACTTCAAATGATTTTCACATGCAGTCAGGTGAAGATGCATGTTGGTTGTATGAGGATGATAAGAGTAGGAAACATGGGCCTCATTCCCTTTTACAACTATATTCTTGGCATCGCTATGGGTATCTTGCTGATTCTGTTCTGGTAAGGCTTGAAATTCTAACGTTATGACTGATGGTTCAAGTGCTAAATGATAAAAATATGAGCTGTTCATTTGTATCAACTGTCAGGTCCTATGGGTTTGTGAATTGTAATAGGCATGATGTATCATAGTTTTACTTACTATTTTCTTCTTATCTCTTCTTGTTGTAATTTATCATTTTGCAGATACATCATACTGAAGACAGGTTTCGCCCCATTAAATTGCTGTCTGTTTTAAATGCTTGGAAAGGTAGTCAAGCTTATGCTGCTGAAAATGAACGGGACTTATCAATGAACTTCATATCGGATATTTCTGAAGAAGTTTCTTCTCAGCTGCATGCTGGGATTATGAAAGCAGCTCGTAGAGTTGTGCTAGATGAAATAATCAGCAATATGATCTCAGAGTTTGTTGCTGCAAAAAAGTCTCAGAGACATCTAATGGTTGAATTATTCAACCAGGATGCTAAAAGTTTTCCTGATAGAAAAATGGTAATGCATGCAATGACAAAAAAAAAAAAGAAAGAAAGTTGATTCTGAAGTTTATTTATCTTAAAGCTCCAATTCTTTCTGTTTACAGATTGAAAATGCCCCCGAAATAAAAATGCAGTGTATTCCCATGTTTGAGACGGCAGCCTCCCACAATGTATCGGACCAGCCATGCATTCAAGAATCTACACGTGCTCCTGCAAGTATAAAATCTGTTGGAAGCATTGAAAATTTTTGGGGTTCTTATACAGTTGTTTGTAAGATGCTTTTTGACTACTGCATGCAAGTTATGTGGAATGCTGTCTTCTATGACAGTATAGCCGAGTATTCATCTTCCTGGAGAAGGGGAAAACTTTGGTTTGGTCAGCCTAATGTTATGGTGTCTGCTACTGACTCCAGGGATCATGGCAACGAGACTGAAAAAGTAACAGATAAGCCTGTAAGTAAAGCCTATATACAGTTCTCTGTGTGCACAGTCTATGTAATGTCCTTGAAGCTAATACTTTAATGGTTTTACAGCTCTTATCTGGGATGGAATTGATTGCTCATGACATTGATTGTCCACCGGGTTTTGAACTGGCAACAGTTGCTGGAGTTGATTCTGCAGAAAAGTCATCTTCATATGTTGTGCAGCAAATTTTATCCAAACAGAAAAGCCAATTGTGCAATAATGGCCCGTATGATGGCATGGGATGCATCCTTGAAGGTGTTGAAAATGAGCTCCATTTATCTATGAAGGTGTTTATGGCCAAGTATGTTGACAATCTTGTTAAAAGTGAAGCAAGAAGAGTGATTGGTTTGGAAAATGATGACAAATCGAAGGAAAATCTTGATGAAGAAGAAGCCGAGAAATCAGTTAATTTTTCAATAGATGATGAATTGAAAGAATTTCAAAAGGTTCATCCTGTTAGTTTTTCATTTCCTTTCTATTTTTTTAAAACTGTTCTAGTGAGACTAGGACACACAAGGATTGTATATTTCTGAAATTTAAATGAACATTTTGTTTTACAGCTGCAAGACGCCGTTGGATCTTCCAGTCAATGCCATCTTGCTTCAGAGTTTGATACTTCAGACATTTGTGGAGAGAAAAGATTCAGTTCAAGCAGAATGTCTGATTTGTCTGGCAATCTACAGAACCCATTACAATCTTGGACACCCATTTGTCAGTCTGTGTCTGAAAATTTGTATGTTACAAGGCAGGAAACTTTCATGGCTGGTGCATTTAAGAGATTGTTTGCTCATTTAGGGGACGTAATTGATGAACAAGAAGTTGATGAGCCACTACCTCCTGGACTTGAGGGTAATGCTGGGACGCTTGTTCCATCACACATTTGTAAGTTTCGACCTTCAAGGTCAGATGAGTGCAGCCCTAAGATTGGAGAATATGTTGCCGTGGCAATGTGTCGGCAGAAGCTCCATGATGATGTACTAAGAGAGTGGAAATCATCTTTTATTGATGTTACTCTTTATCAGTTTCTTATATCATGGCGTAGTTTGAAGAAACGCCGTGAGGCTGATAGCAAAGAGGTATTGATCACTGCTTTATACCTTATATTCCCACCAATCACCCCAGAATTTTGATATTGGGTTGAATAGTTTTGTTGACCTTTTCATTTGCTTCAGGAAAGGGCATTTAGTGTAGGTAGGGAAATTCTTGCTGCTTCTTCTGCCGTAGGAGATAAGCTCAGGGAGAGGTCAAAGAAGTCTCAGAGTTCAGGCTCCTCAGAAGTATCTTTAGTTACTGGTAAATATACATATTACCGCAAGAAAAAGTTGGTTCGTAAGAAGATAGGATCTACTCTGTCCACTATTGTCAATGGGTCACAGAATCATCCCGTTGAAAGGCCTCGGAAAAAAGAGGCTTCCAGAAATTTGTTGGATCATGCAGATCCAGAGCCAACTGCAGCCACTTCTGAAAAGGTTGGGGTAAAGAAAAGTGCATCTCAATCATCTACTGTTTCTAGGTCATCCAAAACCATTGCTAAAAGTAGTTTGCTCAATGATCACTCAATACCGAAGAGTGCAGGTGGTCACAAAAAAACCAAGGTTACCCCTGCTGTTCAAAGTATGTTACTTTTTCATCTGATAGGTTCTTGGTATTGCACAAGATAATAATGAACTTGGCAATGGTAACAGTTATTGACTATTTTATGCAGAAAATTTGGTCAGAGAAGGTGCAGTTCAAGTCTCCAGGGAGAGAGCATCAACCTTTCGGAATTGTGATGTTAAGAAGGTTGTTGGCAGGACTAATGGTATTGTTGGAAGTGAAGTAGAGCTTACTAATGCTTCCCGCAAGAAGACACTGAAAGGTTTTTTATTTTTTTTTTCATTCTAGATGTTTTTTGGTTTTATCTTAATTAATGGCATTATTTTAAATCTTTCTTTATTTTCTGTTATTTTCTTTAGCTCCCAAGGTGTCAAGGGTAAAAAGGAAGCAATTAGCTAATGATGAGCCTTCATTGCATCCAACCAAGGTACAGAAAGTGGCAAATTCTGCTAGCAAGCATTCTTCTTCTAGAGGGAATGCAGATCGAACTACCCATTCAATTAGATCCAGGACAGCAAATTCCTGTCCCAGATCTGATGGATGTGCGCGCTCTTCATTTAATGGCTGGGAGTGGCATAAATGGTCACTCAAAGCAAGTCCTGCAGAAAGAGCTCGTGTTAGAGGAATTCAGTGTACACACATGAAATATCCAGGCTCTGAGGTTAATAATATGATGCAGTCGTCAAACAGTAAAGGTCTTTCTGCAAGAACAAACAGAGTGAAGCTGCGCAATCTTCTTGCTGCTGCAGAGGGTGCTGATCTCTTAAAAGCAACTCAGTTGAAGGTGATTTTAAAATGATGTTTGTTATTGGAATATATTTGTTTTGAAATGTCTTGATGTGACCTTGATGGTTTTAAATTACTTAATTCTGTTTTTAGGCAAGGAAAAAGCGTCTACGTTTTCAGCGAAGCAAGATTCACGATTGGGGTCTTGTTGCGCTTGAGCCAATTGAGGCTGAGGATTTTGTCATTGAATATGTTGGAGAGTTGATTCGGCCCCGGGTAAGTTTGACTTGTTTAGAATTGGCTGTAGTATGTTATCCTATTTAGTCTAACTTTTTGCAATTCCTCTTCCGTTCATGCATGACCATTGATTAAGCTTCCAAATGTTATAGATATCTGATATACGTGAACGCTATTATGAGAAGATGGGAATTGGTAGCAGTTATCTGTTTAGGCTTGATGATGGATATGTGGTAAGTATATCAATTTTCGATGCCTGGGTCTGGATTTAAACTGAATTGTGGTTTTCTTTTCCTTGCTTGTTTTTAGAGGCAATCTTTTGACTTCTTATTTACTTGTGTAGGTTGATGCTACAAAGCGTGGTGGGATTGCTAGATTTATAAATCATTCTTGTGAGGTATGTGAAGTTGTAATTTTGTTCAGTTGTTGCCACATATGTGATTGATTGGTGCGGCTAATTTGAAATACTTGAAATGCAGCCTAACTGTTACACAAAAGTTATTAGTGTTGAGGGCCAGAAGAAGATTTTCATCTATGCAAAACGGCACATAGCAGCTGGTGAAGAAATTACTTACAACTACAAGTTCCCTTTGGAGGAGAAAAAAATTCCTTGCAACTGTGGTTCAAAGAAGTAAGATGCGATGGGATCTATGGCTGTGCATTTATTAACTTTGTGATCCTATTTGCATTATGCCTTATTGGTTTTGGTGCTTCTTAAGGGAAACTTAGTCACTTTATGGTTATTCATTTCATAGCTGCATATTAAAAACAAATTAGATACGCTGCCTGCCATTCTCTGCTTACTTTTTGTTCCTGCTTTTGTTCAGGTGTCGTGGATCTTTAAACTAGGATGCACACTTCCAATATGTATGTGGATGAAAATTGTTCCTTGACTTTGTCTTACTGAGATTCATATATGCTTAATTTGATGCAGATTTCCACATATTCATATTTATCTCTGTTCTCTTATCCATTGTATTTATTTTGTAGGACATCTGCATGATTCATTTCTCATTTTGTAAAGTCTGGAACAGTTGATGCCATAGGGTATGTAATTGTCTCAATCTTGTGAATATGTTTTTTTTTTTTTTGATTAGTAGGGTTTTATTAATTTAAAGAAACAGCAAAGTACCTGTTATACTGATATACAAAGGTTAAACAGTACAAGAACAAACTGGAAGCATACAGAGTAATAACAAAGGTCATTAGACCAAAAAAAAAGAAACTACAAGAGGAAAAAACAGGGACTAAAATTTATGTAAGCAAATGTCTTTACTGAGTCTTCCATTGTTGCTAAGTTTTTGTACATTCTAATGACTTTTGGGAACGTTGCAGAGACAATTTAATTAAAGTTTGCATTTAGTCTTTGTGCTTATTGAAAAATGAAAATGCTCAATCACCATTACACCCTTTTTATTTATTTGTAAAATGCATTCTCTGCACTTTTAAGTCTGGTTAACCAAGTGACAGTGTTAGCACCTTTGAGTGTGAAACCATTAAGTCTACTTATTTATCCTATTTTGCGTCAAAATGATTGTTGATATGGCAACATTTAGGCTGGCTTGGCGAAGTTAAAAATTGAAAAGTCTATTCTCAGTTTTCATTATTATTGTCTTCTTCTCTACTGCCTCTGATTCTTGTGATCTGCTCCAGATTCAAGTTAAAATGCTTTGCTTCCTTTTTGCAATCACATTTACACCTTGATTTACTCCTCTCTCCCTTTCTTCTTCTGATGCAACCTTCGAGGGAGCACTCACCGTTAGGGTGTAGGGTTTTCTCTTCACCCCCCACTTGAGAATTTAATAGAAGACAGCTCATCTGTTAAATTGTTGCTTGAATGGAAAAGTTTGGGCCTTATAAAGTTTCTGTTTGATAAGGTGCTCTAAGCGTTATTCTGATAGGATTGAGCTGATGAAGCTCTATGATGGTTTTGCCTCCTCTCAAAGGGAGTAGAAAAAAAAAATGTGAAGTAAAGCATCTGGGACACAGCAAATAAACACATGGCTAACATTAGAGTGTAATAAGACAAGCTTGCATACTTATTGCTCAGAGGAGAGATGTTGCTGTCTTGACAAGGCTGGCTGGAGTGAACTCTTGGGGTGGAGTGAGGGAGAGAGAGAGAGGGGAACCAGATGTAAGACATGGTTCCATAAAAGAAGAAAGAAGAAAATAGAAAAAAGATATAAAAACAAAAGAAAATGGTTTTATTAATTTATTAATTTTAGTTTTTGTATATGTTAATGCCTCTTGAGCTTATGTTTTTCCATGTCAGCAAGTTATTGGTTTCACATTAATGGTCTTTACAGTTTTTCATATGACAAATTGACTACACTTTAATGAATAGAAGTAGATGGAGTTTTATGAACATTCCTGACAAGTATATGGACTAATTGCAAATTTTAACCTTTGGATTATGCACTGTAATAATGGATGTGTTGTTATGACATACTTGTTGAGGGATGATGGACATGATAGCAAAAAGAATTATTTGTTTGATAAAAGGGCCATATGTGGTCGTGTTTTGGGAGATGGTTTGAAGTACTCAGGTCCAACACATATATGACGAGCTTAGGTATGGAGATTTGACCCTCCAAATATAAGGAAAATCTTATAGAGAAATTGAACCTTCCCATGTGGGACACATACCTAATCCAACAGTTACCTCAGAGGCCAAGCATAATATTTTGGGGCAAAAGCAGTTTAGACAATATTTTATGTTTTATGTAACAATCATTTATTTATTTATTTTTAATTATCCATTGATTGACATACATTTATATTGCTTGTTATTTCAGCTTACAGATTACTTATGTTCTTCATTCTTGATTAACTGTAGCTTGACATGCCCTGAGGTAGAGGAGCTTGGAATGTGTTCGCTTAAAGATTCTCAATGCCTTCCAGGACCCTGCTGCTAGAAAGTTTTGGTAGCTTGATGTACCAAGATGAGCTTTTGGCGAAGTACTTTGACAGGGTATATCAGCAATTGTTTGTCTCTAATTACCAAATTACTTACTAAATTTAGGTATTTTTAATAGCCAGTTTACATTTTAATTTACAGCAATCAACTGTTAGATATTGGTTCCATAGTTAATTGGCATGAGCTACTTCATTGGTTCCATAGTTAATTGGGCTGTGGTTGAGGTTTCGAGTTTTGGGTGATGTAAAGCTTCAGATTAGATGTCCTGATTGTATCTTTCTATATTCATATTCTTGTAGTTTTAACCCCATAGCTTGTGGTATTTAAGTTCTCTTTGCTAAAAATGATGAAAATCATATCTGCAAGACTGCAACTTATTTCAACCTTGATTGGGTTCTAATATGGTCAATGGATACGAGCTTAATCTTTATAACAATGAATTAAAAACTGCATCTACTTTAATAAATATCTCCATGAACGTTTAGTTGCTTATATTGAGTCTGCACACTGCCGTCTCAAGTGCTGAGTTTTTAAGATTAGCTTTTGGGTTATTCTAGACCTGTTGCATCCTCTTTAATATGCAATTCCAGTCATTAGAAAACCAATGACTAATATTTGCCATGAATGTGGACATTGATGGACGTTTCAGGTTATGGTCAAAGTTATCAAATAGGAGTGGATGATGGGATAATGAACTTTTTGCATCAAGTTTTTTGCCTACATCTGGAAGATGAATTACTTACCCGTGTCATCGTTGTTGTATATAACACTGTTGCAGATGAGTTCCTCCTCTTAGAATCTGTAATCAGTTTGTTGATTTCCTGCCTCTTGACATTTTGGACTATTAAGCTTTTGTACAAACATGCATTATTTATTCATTTAGTCCATATTTGTCATTTGTATACCTCTTTGGTCGTGTTCTGGTGGTTGTGGGAATTGTTGTGCCCTCAACTGCAAACATGCTTGTTTAACAAATTGAGAAGTGGAAAATTTAATCTTATACCCTTTGACAAGCTACCAAATTTTACATGGATTTTATTCTCGAACCATCTATCATAAGCTATCCATTGTCTCAACTTGATTTGAAATATTTCCAATGATTTATATTTATGGAATCTTTTCATTAGACACCAATAAATTGAGCTGTGTCAAAAAATTTGAAGCAATGAGAGGGGAAGGGATAAGAGGATGAAAACCTTAGTTTATTGTGTGAAATATTCTGCATGCCTGCAGGCAGTGGGTCATTATTGGTATGCTTTTGGAGATTTATCACTTCAGTTAATGGCAGGAGAATTATGAGTCAAAGATCAATATAAGTAGGATTTGTTAATGAAATGATGTTTGTGCTCCAAGTTTGCGTCAATTCGGCGGGTTGGAGTAAGCAATTCTCATTTGCCCCTTGCGGATGTTGAAGCACCAGCATCATGGGGACGCTTGTCCTCTTGCTATTCTAATACCATATTCAAAAGTTCCTTTGGCATCCTTTTGTCTTTTTTCTTTTCACTGTAATTCTGTTGGTTGCAGGCTTGAATGACACCTGTTTGGCGCAGGTCTATTTGCCTCTGGTATGTCCCTGCTCACTCCTTGCTTAATTAAAATCGCAGGTGTTGAATCCTGACAACCTACATCACCATATGCTTCTCTTGGCTAACAATATTGGCGGGAGTATCGTCCAAAGAAAAGACCAAATTCACCAAAAGGTAGAAATTTTAGTTTTGTGCCTACTCCCCTCCCCGGTATCCCCTCTGATTTCTACCTTTCTGTTAACTGAAGACGTACAATTGGAAAAGATTCAGTGCAACTGTGTCAATCGAGATGACCCATGGCTCTGATTGGTTCGACTCCGTTATAAGCAAATCTTCCAAGTTCTATGCATGTTAAAATATAGTGTTAACCAATCTCTCCAGTGGCCTATTCAAAATCTGTCACAGTACCTGGTTAGCATGGCCTCATCCTCGTGCATTTCCGCGTTCTGGTTGATTCTCAATGGGAAAAAAAGCAAATATAATTAATCATTGATGACCACGGATGTTGCCGGAACCTTCTCTATAAGGCACAGAACATTAGAAAAATTAAGAGCCGGTTGGTTTACCGATGGCTGTTCAATATCTTTATGTCTTGAAGTTGAAACCTCTGTGGGGCTATGGAAAAATCAACGTCCTTTCAGTAATGTGCATGCAGGTTATATTACGGGCTTAATTTGATGAGTTTGATATAAATTTGAACAATTTTTTATTGATGGTTTTGGTTAAAAATATTGCAGAGTCGGTCAACGTTTCTCGGACCAATTTCCATGAGAAGTAACTCCGCCTGTGTCTTGATTAACGCATTTATCTTTACACAGCCGGTCCCAAGCCCGGATAAAGGAGGAGGGTTGCACCGAGAATAGCAATACCACACGTACGGTAATGCCTTGTGCGATATCAAAAACATTTCGGAGAACAATTCATTCTACATTGGAGATGAGTTAGTAATCTGTTGTACCTGATGCACGTAAAAGATATTGCTCCAACGTTAAGGAAAATGGTCTTTGGCAATCCATAGGTTCATATTGTCTATGTTACATTTTCTTTCAGTTAAAATCTTAATTTGTTCCTTTATTTGCTGGTAGGTTCTCTTCCTCGTTGAAAGCAAATCGCCATCTTCTTTTGTCATCGAGGATTGTATGTAAAAAAATAAAAACAAAAATGGAGTGACTGAGTTAAGGTTTGAAGCCCGCAACTTGTTTGATTATCCCTAGTCCTTGCAGTTGCAGGAATTTTACCCTTTAACACATGAGGCGAACTGAGTTGGTTTGTATAGCTGGTTTTAAAATGAAGGCAACTTTTGATTTTTCCCTTTTAAGTGTCAACTCGTTGTATTTTTCTTTTCCCTACTTGAGAGTGTTGTTTCGGTTGCGTTGATATCCATGTGATAAGAAAACCGGAATAATTATGCCAAAACAATGTGGTTTAACAGTTGCCTTTGTTAAAGTATGCCCTAAAGTATTTTGATGTCTCTTTAGCAGTGAGCAGTACGCAATATAAAGAAAGAAAGAGGAAGGAAGAAAGAAAGGAGAGATTCAAAGAAAGAATGAAGGACAAAAAACAAAAGGCATGGCCTAAAGGGAAACTATTAGTAAAATAAAACAAAAAAAGGCAGGGGTTTGGAACTTGGGAGGGAAAGAAGGAAAAAAAAGCAAGCGTGAAGCGTGCATGGGGCAACCTGGGCACAAGTTGTTGATATGGGCGGTGGGCGGAGAATCCATCAAATTGAGGCCCACCCCAAGCCCACGGCACCCAGCTCTAACTTTAATGCCTCTCTATCTCTCTGACTGCAAGTCTGAATACTGCTAATGTGCTTGCTATGTATTCCATTCTGCTTTCTTTTTGCTTATTTACTTTTGATTTATATTTTTTTTATAAACAAAAGGAAAACAGTACTCCTAATCCTAACCCTTTTTTAGAGAGAACACTACTCCTACACCAGTAAGTAAAGGTAAAAGGGGAAAAAGAAAGGAGATAAGTACTACTTAAAATAAAGAAATAAAATACTAACAGTACAAGATGACAAAAATTATATATAAAAAAAAGGTAGGGAGTAGGCATAGAGCAGTGTAAGTAAAGCGTAAACAGTGCTGCCCTCTCTCTCCATCCCTTTCTACATCAGTTGAATCCTTTTGGCTTTATATTTGTCTTTCCTTGTCTCTTGCACTCGCTATCTCCTCCATTCTATATTACTATAAAAATTAAAAATTAAAAAAAAAAAAAACAAAATCCATCCCTTAGCTCGCTGCTCAGCCCAGTGTATCAAATATTATTATTTTAATTATTTAATAATGTTATTGATTTAGTAGTGGTGTTATTATTAATGTTTCTGTTTCTCTTGGTCCTCAGAAGTTTAGTATAGATTTGTGATTGAGCTTCACAAATCGCAATCAGGGCTCACGCAGGGGTTTTTTTTTACAGTGGCGACAGCTTTTAAGTCTCAACGACAAAGCCGCATCTATTCATTTTTTTATACTTATTATATATACACACTGAGTTACTAACTAACTATGCTATGGCTAAGATACGGAGTAATACTAAGAATAATAGATTAATTTATAGATAGGCTCTCCTCACGGGTCCGTCTTTTCCAAATGTTGTGCAAGAAATGTCATGAATGATGGATTTGGCTTCATCAACCTTCTTCTGTTAATTTTTATTTTATTTATTTCTTCCATTATTTTAGTCTACAATTTCTTGATTCAGTTTGAAAGAAAGAAACGCCGACCATGGGCTCCGAGCAGAACAGATTCCCTCAGCAAGAACGGGTACGTTTTTTTACTTTGCCTCATTGTTTAGATCTGTTCCTTTTGCCTCCAACTTTGTCTCAGATCTGATTTTTCTTTTTCTTCTTTGTGCTACTGCTACTGCTACTGCTACTGTGCTCAGATTTGCTTGCGAGTTGTGTTTTGTTTGTTGTTCTTTCTTTTTTTCGTTATAAATAAAGATAGTAAAAACAATTAAAGATGATGATTTAGAGGAAGAGGAAGAAGAAGAAAGAATTGATCTGAGCTGGGCCCATCTGATCAAGACCTACACTCTGATGAGATGTTGGATTTCTTGGTGTGGTTAATTGGCGGTGTGTGATTTGTTGACTTGTCAATTTCAACATAACTCATCAGGAATTTAATTGTATTTTTTCCCTTTTTTTTTTCTTTGGTTGATAGCTGTACTTAGCGTATTGCACTCTTCATCTATAGATCTAACTAATTCACCAACTTACTTACAACTCTGCTTGTTTAATTCTGTTGACCAAACAACTTTTGTCTTCTGCTATTGATTACTACGTCCACCTCAAATCCATTCTCTTGAGCTTGATTTACCTCACCTGTCTCTTCCATTTCCCTTTCCTTTTCCTTTACTTGTTCTGCAGTGTCAAACCTTTTGTCAAAGTTTCTATTTATTCATTGTTGCTCATCGCACCTACACAAACTATCTTAAAATCCCAACACTTAACCGCATTTCAACTCCAGTACTAGATCTAAATCTTAACACTATTGCATGTTTACTAACAGCACTGCTAAACCATGGCTAAGTTTAGGGTATAGGGCTCCATTCTTCTTGACGTTCATTTTCTTTTATATGGAATTGTTCCCGTTGAGGGAACATGAGTTTTCTTTTTTTTTTTTTTTTCAGAATCGTTTTGATATTAGGTGGAAGTACGTGGGTTTGGATGATCATTTGGTAATATTGTTATCTTTACATTAATCTGTACACACCAAGTTGCACGACACCATTACTCTCTCATCTCTTTTATGATTTGCTTCCTCTCTTTCTGCATGTGTGTGTGTGTGTGTGTGTGCATTTTATCATATACATCTGTTTTTATATGACATGTACATATTATACATATATGCTTCAATGTGCTCTCTTTTGCATGTTATAAAAATGCTATTGCCTGAGCATATTACAACTACTTGATTTCTTGTACCCTAACTCTGAAGAATCTGAGTATTTGTCGTCTGCACTGTCTTTCAATGTCACAGTAGCTCTAGAGATGTATGTAGTGCTCACTTGCGGTTTCTGAATTCATCTGGCTTTTGTGGAAATTATGCCACTGAAATTCACACACCACACACACACACACACAGAAAGTTTAGTCATCTTACTAATTGATAATTTGTTCTTGAGGATTACTGGTTTTAATTTGTTTAATTTCAATTTTCCTTTCCTGTTGACTTGTCTGGGTCAAGCTTACAAGGTTTAACTATGTTGCCAGCGAAAGAGATGGGGAGGGTGTTGGGGGCATTTTCCTGTTTTGGTACACAGAAAGGTGGAAAGCGTATTGTACCTGCATCTCGTATTCCTGAGGGCAATGCATCAGCCACCCAGCCAAATGGACCTCAAGCTGTGGGTTGACCAACCAAACTACTACCTTAGCTCCATCACTTCTAGCACCACCTTCTTCTCCAGCATCCTTTACAAATTCCGCACTCCCTTCAACAGCACAATCACCAAGTTGCTTCTTGGCATTATCTGCTAACTCACCTGGAGGG